ATTATTGATGTTGCTTTTGGACCATCCAATCCTAATTTTCTGTAGATAGACGATGGCATCAGATTAATACTTGCTCCAGAATCAATTAAAACATTTAAATTATTTGAATTTCCTATAGAACAAGGTACTGTAAAACTCACTAGATCTTTTAGTTTAGGAGGGAGCATTTTTTTTTATGATTACGCTGTACTCTTATGTCAGAACCATCATTTCATCTATTGACAGCTTTCTTATCTTAGTCAACATCTCTTTTAGAAACTTTGTGTAATTTGGAATCTGTTGAATGGTGTCAAAGAAGAGAATGTTGATGTGAAGTTGTCTAAGGGCATCCAAGAACTTCTTGAATTGTTTGTCCAGCTTATTGTTCTGCAATCTTTGAGGGAATGGGATTGGAGGTGTGTATTTATTGACAGGAGCAGTTTTCTTACCCAGTTGACTATCTTACTTTTCTTCTTGTGTAAACTTTGTTGATTTTTCAGACTGAACTACTCATTCCTCACCTGTGGTAGGTACTTGATTCTCTTTTACTTCTATCTTTTTCATCGTAATTTCTGGCAACTGAACTCCACTTCTTGTTGTAATAGCCTGGACTTGTTCCTCTTTTGGCTTCCGCTGCAGTCTTTGAAGGAATAGAATAGGTAGCATATATGCTCGAACATGGGTTGCTTGCTCAATTTCTGGTGTCTCAATAATTGGATAATTCACAGCTTCAATTGCTAATACATGTTCTCTTGGATTTGTCTCTGTGTTGCTTGGTAAGGTCTCTCGAGTTCTCCCTACTAATACAGCAGCCATCTGATCCATATGAGTTTCCAAGTTTTTAATTGCAACCTACTGGTTCTGAATAATTGTCTATTGGGTTTGTAAATTAGTCTAACTCTTAGTCATGAACTGAGTTATTAATTTCTCCATCGATGGCTTTCTGTTTTGCTGCCGTTGTTGTTGGAATCCCGGTGGTCTGCCCTGAATCTGACATTCTTGACCCTGATTATTAACCATTGAGAAGTTAGGATTATTTCTCCAATCTGGATTATAGGATTGGAGTAAGGATTGATCTGCTGTCTCTGAAAGTTCTGTGCATAATTGACTTCCTCTAACTGATAAACATGGGTTGTAGCTAAAGGACAATTTGTAGTTATATGATTTGCCCCACAGCCTCCACAAACTGGTGTTGGTTGGTACACCATGCTCACATTCTGAGTTAGTTTGTCCAATTTCCTTGTTAATACTTCCAACGGGGCTACCAATGATGTAACTGCATCAATGTTGTAAATACCTGCTATTTTTCTTGAAGTTACCCTTTCTCTTGGCCACATAATCTGATTTTCTGCTATTTTCTCAAAGAGATCTAAGGAGTTGTCTAAGGGAATATCCATGATCGATCCTCCTGCTGAGGCGTCGACCATGTTATGGTATTCAGGATGTAGGCCTGAATAGAAGATGTAGACTTTAGCATTTTTAGGAATGTCTAGATTGGGGCAACTTCTGAAGTAATCCTTGAATCTTCCCTATGCTTCTGGATAGCTCTCAATGTCCTTTTGCTTGAATGTAGTGGCTTTATTTCTGATCTAATGGAATAGAGAAGGTGAGAGGAATTTCAAGGTGAATTTATGTACCATGTCATTCCACGAAATAATACTCCCGGGAAGTCATGAGTTTAGCCATTCTCATGCGTTTTCCTTTAAAGTATGAGGGAATAGACGCATTCGAAAAGCATCAGCTGACATGCCTTCATGATTGATCACCTCGCAAAGTATCAGGAAAGCTTGTATGTGTTCATGAGGATTTTCAGTTGATTTTCCTGAGAACCTAATGTCCTAGATGATTCTGAAACAAATTGACGACATCTAGTCGAATGTGGAAGTTGGCCTGCGGAAAAGGTGGATAAATAATAGCCGGTTGCACAGGAGCAGGTATGAGATTTAAATAATTCCTAAGAACTGGATCTAGTTGTTCTGGTGATTTCGAATCCTCCTATTCCTATCTATTTCAATTCTTGATTAGTAATCTACTTTTGTTCATGCGTTCTTGACAATCGATAATTCTATTATAATTAATTCTCTTTTCCAAGACAAATTAAATCTATTCTAACCACGAATCGAATCTATTCCTAGCCCGAATTCGAATGCTTAAAATGTATTAAAGTTTANNNAATGCTTAAAATGTATTAAAGTTTAGATTATCTATATGATTGCACATGTGATAAATGTTATTCCTAATACATATTGCACATATGTTAATTTTACCGCGTTCTAAACTTATTGTGAGTCTCCCGACACTACAATAACCAACTAATTATCTAACTGGTGGGCTTACAATAAAATAATGTAATGGGTATGCAAAATTAATTAAGAAACGCAAGAAATAAACTAAATTACTAATCTTGAATTAAAACAAATAAACAAATAGGGTTTATCTACATCTAATACAAAAGCAGATCTAGCCTAGCATATTAATATATAAATTATAAGAAAAATAATAGAAAAATATCACCCGGGTCATGAAATAAATCAAAAGACGTTGATCTTCAAGCTCAAGGTTGAATTCTTCAACATTTTGATGTAATTGACCTTCAATTCCTTGCTATGGCTTGATATCTTCTATTAAAATATAGCAATTGGCCTCTTGTTCTTGATGAATTTGATGAAATTATAGTATATGAAGAGCTAAGAAGATTTTTTTTCTATGTGTATCCTACGTTCTCTATTTGTAAGAGCTATAAAATAGGTTAAAATCATGTCCAATTTAGTTTCCAAAAAAGTTTGAATCGCGAAAGGAAACTAAAGATTCGTCTGTGAAAAGCGCCATATACGCTCGCCTTATATTTCCTTGCATGCACCATTCATTGGTTTTAGGCTTGGTAAGTAAAATTCATGCCCGTGCGCGTGCGAGAGAATTTGCTTACGCGCTAGCGCAAGTTTGTCTTTGAATAGCGTTCGATAATTTGGTTATAAATTTATACCTGATTGAGCTAATTCAAAATGTATTAAAAAGCTAAATCAAATGGATAAACTTCTTCTAGAAATACAAAATTTTCAATTCGAACATTTGCTATCTGAACAATGGGTCTCAATTTAAAACTAAAAATTTGGAGCATAACTTCTTCGGTTGGAAATTGATTTGTGAAAATACTTCCACTATATTTCACTTATTTGACCTCCATTTGTATCCAATTGATCCCATATGATCTTAATTATCATTTTGTGGTTCGAATCATCTATTGGATGTTACACTTTGGTCCCCAAACTTTGTATTTCCTTCGTTTTCGCCGTTTTTCATTCATTTATTCCAAAGCCACCATTTTCATTGAATTTAACCTAACATATATAATTAACACAAAATTAAGCTATAACTCATCCAAATCATTAACAAATATTCCAATTTAATGGCCTAAATAAGTGTACAAAATACACTTATCATATACATTTGAAAGGATCACCGATTATGAGCTCATTTGGATGAGAGGGAACAAACTTCCATTCAATGGGAAGTGTTGGATAATCTTGATTTTTGGAAGATTTTCCTTCTCACTGTTGAGAAATTTCTTCTTTCAAATCTTTAACTTCAACATCTTTAGGATCTTCCTTATTTTGATCTTGAATGTTCATTTCCTCAAGAGGAATTT